CCGGGCGACGTAGATCTGGGCCTCCTTGGGGGCTCGCCCCTAGGGCTAGGCGTACGCCACTTGTCCTGCTCCCGATTCCTGGGAGAGTACTTGTCCCTTCGATGAGGACTTGGGGTATTACCGGTCCTCTTCCTTGGATCGCTAGGAGGCCGATTAGGCCTATGGGACGGGAGGACCAGGAGCACCAGGTTTCTGGGCTCTGTCCCTGGACTGAGATCGTTCGTAAAAGTCTTTGTGCATATTGACCTGATTCTTACAAACCCTCCAGCGGTCAATTTTGTTCTTACAACGAGCACGAAGCCATTCATAGCTACAAACATCAGGGTTGGATATGTTCCTATCCCATTCCCTGATATCATGAGCCAAACAGTTGAGGTGTCTAACCTTCTCACTGAATAGCGACCGCTTTACCTGCTCGGTCAGCGGTTCATCGAGACCCGCAAGGATGTGATCCCACTTCGCGATGAACCTTTCAAGCCGCTCCTCTTCAGTATAGAAAGATGAAACGCTGCATCGCAAGTTTGAGAGCTCAATTATCCTGAATGATTGCTCTCCGATATTCGCAGTCCTTAGGTCGTATAAGAGCCACAGGATCTGCCTATACTCTTGATGCGATTGTTAGAGCGTTGAGCGGCTTCGGTGAGACGATTAATCTTATCGATAATTGCAACAGTCTTGATGCACTTCCGAATGGCTGCATTAAACCTAGCTTCAAGGATGTGGTATTTACATTCCCCATCCAGTTCATCAAAGGTCTTTGCCTTCTCGACTTCAGTTAGCCAATTGATGACGTAAAGTCCATCATAGCTGTAGGCATTGCTAACAGCTTCCTTCATATTGGCTATCCATACCCTCAGCCCAGCCGCGTCGGGCTCTGGCGGGAGGTCTATAGGAATGCACTTAGTCGCAGCTGTACAGTTCGGATCATGGTGGCTACTGTATCCGCCGCCACCAGTTCCGAAAAGATGCTGTGGAACCTGAGAACTACTGATTGACAGTGCACATACAGGGCAAAGGCGAGTAGCCTTCGGAATGCAAATCTCACATGCCCTTTTCATGCATATCTTACATTCCCCAATTTTGCTGGGGTCAGGAATATCCCGATCACACATCCGACAGTTCTTGTCAGGAGGATCGGGGCCACGCATGGTCGGCGGCTCAAGGCCTGAAGGATCCTTCGGCCTTGTACCGTTGGGATCAAATCCTGGATAATATCCGGTTTCACGTTTATCCAGGGGAACGGGTTGCGTAGCCTTCGGAGGACTCTGAAGGTCAGCCGCGTTGGGTTGACCCCCAGTGGGAATGTCACGGAATCTGTCAACGGGTGGCCGCAGAGGCGGCGAGTACGACCGCGTCGGGTTCGTCTCAGGTGCGCCTCCAGGAGATCTATTCCTGACACGGTTACCATCGGGATCCCTTCTTCTCCTAGTTTCGTCCCTAAGGCACGCAAGACAACAGGGACCCTGGACAAATCCAAATCTCCTGTAGTCATCCTGCCCAGCAGAATGTCTGGTGCAGTAGTAGGTCCTACAAAACTGACACTCAATTCCCTTGGTCAGGAACGAGCTCTCCCTACAGACTCCGCATCGAGGTCCGTCTTTAAACGAGAAACAATACTCACAAATATCACCTCTGCATCCTTTGCAGTGAAACTCAGCCATGAGATGATTATATCCATCACCTACGTATTTACACCTGGGTTTACCAGGGTCGCCAGGGTTCCCACCGGCGGCACTCTTCTTCCCCCCTCCTCCTGGGCTTTGCCGATCTGGAGGAGGAGGTGGTGGAGGATCATCATCAGGAGGGCCAGGTGGAGGTGGCCGCTTATCCGGAGTACGGGACGCGGCACGCCTTCCTCCTGTGCGATCGTTCAATCCACTACTTGATGCCTGGTTCGAGTGCCTTGACTCGAGGGAGTTAATTCTCTGGGCCGTATTACCCAGCACCTCGAGCATTTGCTCGAGCTTACTGTTGAGCGTAGTCGAAACGGCCATGTTATGAGTATTTTGCTTGTCCGTGTAGGATTTGCAGTCCCTTGACTTTATCTCAAGGTTGGCTTGTGTCTCATAAAGTTGGTCTTTAACCCACTTTATGCCGTCCCTATTATTGGTCCAGCGTTGTTCGACATCTTGCATCATCCTATCAATCTGACATACCCTAGTGGACAGGTCCTCGATTTTGAGGTTTACTCCACCAATCGCAGGATGGTTGGATTGGCCCTCCACTAGAGATCTCTCGATCACATCAACACGAGCTATAAGCCCGGTTACTTGATCAGAAAGAGATTCAAAAACAGTTTGAACCTGGGTGATGGAGCGAGCAACATCATCATAGCTGGCTCGCTCATTTAGGGCATCGCCTATGCTTATCATGCGATTGGAAACGATCTTGACGCGTTGGCCAAGCTCGGTCACGATGTCCTTAGTCCCTTGTGACAGCTGCATGGCCGCGTTCGCAGCCTGCGTACACGTGCTACTCACATGGACGCATTGGTTGTATTTGGCCCTCCACGAGTTAACCTCAGTGGAGAGCTGCTTGATGCATTGATCACTTCTATCATTCCTACGCCCAAGGTCTTCGACCTTAGCAACCAGGCGATGAATGATCGCACTTACCGAAGAGTCCACTCTCCCTCTTTCAAGGGCTGTTACAAGATCAGCAACCTCGTTGGGTTGCTCCTCACTCGCAGGACCAAATCCTGATCCGCGATCTCGAGGAGTGGACAAATCAACCATGATTGGATTAGATCTCGGAGGAGTTCTGAAATCATCCTGCACGGCCGTTGATGGCCGTGGGAACTCACTCCGATTAGGAGATTGACTCTGATACGGAGCAGATCTCCTAGCATCACGAACCGCAGAGGGTTGTGTCATGCCCAGGCCTTTGGCCACGGACAATTTAGGAACAACAGGCCTATCCGTTCGCATAGGAACATCAGGTCTCGAGTCAGCAATAACAATGTCATTCAAGTCGGTCGCATTGGACACTCTAGACTCAGACATCGATTCAATATCAGTCGCATTACTGACGGTATGATTGCGACTAGAACTTGATGCCATCATGGACTCAGATTCTATCGGAACATTAGCTCCGTCCATGTTGTCCAGAGCGAAAATGGAAGCCGCGTTGGGCGTAGGGCGAACACCTTGCGCGTTCAAGCCACTTGACCTATTAAATTCCTCCTGGAATGCTTCGATCCCATCAAGCACGTTAACGAGTGTGTCCGCGTTTAACGGGTCTCTACCAATGATCGACGCTGGATCACCTGATCGACCGCGCCCTGTGTCCCGCGTATTGGGGTTACCCCTGTGGGCAGTTTCCCGATCCATCCCCCTTGCCCTATGCGATCCAGTCGAATTTGACCTTGATCGTTTGCTTGGGGTTGGACTGGGATGCAAATCCAATCTATCTACGATATTACGCTCCCTAGGGCTCTCAAATCCTGAAAGTCCTGGGGGAGGGGACATGTTCCTCATGGTCGGGTTTACCGACGGTCTTGGCCTGACGTTACGGCTGGCCACGTCAGGATTGAGATTCTCAATCGACAAGGGTAGCATGAATTCATCGCTTCCAGCAGCCCGTTTTGGGCTTTGGAATTGCGGGAAAGATGACGGGGCGGGTAGCCCTGGCATCCATGCGGCAAAATCCATACCAAAAATGTTTCCGTCGTTGGGCCATGAGGCTCTCCAATCGAGCCCACCGGATTCGGTCGGCAGATGAACGTCAAATGCAACTCCACTGGATGTACCAGGTTCGGGATTACCGAGCACTTGAAAAGCTATGCTACTGGTTGGCACAGGTCTACTGCTGTCTCGGGAGTCACGAATTTCGGACTGACCAATATTCATCAGCTCGGGGAAAGATGAGGATTGGGCTCCAGGTGCAATACCGGGCTCGTCATCACCACGTCCTGAGACGGAATCATCATGGCCAGGACGATTAGACCCACGACCCTGAGAGCGATTAGCTCTTGAGGCATTAGACGATAGATCATCAGTGCGAGTAGCACTGGATCTCTCTGAAGGCATTGCTTCTGAAAAAGTGTGGTCCGACAAAAAATCAGGACCGGAAAACATCGGCTGTCCGGGCACTAGGTCGTCATTCACAACGTCCAAGATTCCGGCCTGGCCGAGAACCCACTCATCGGTCACCACATGAGGTCCATCCTCGGTGATTCCCGCCATGAGTCCTACAGTAGCCTATGGAATACGGCGCCTGCAGGGTTGTTATTAAATGGGGTTCGCGGTGCCAACCGAGGACGAATCCTACGGCTGATAACCTGCGAAAGGGTTTGAAACAGAGTTTCGGGATGGATAAAACAGGCCCTAACCCACCAACAAGAAGAGACCACCTTATCCCCCCGGTCCCAAGGGCAAAGCAGTTGCCCCCGGCCGGCACTAACACGAACCAAAAGGGGTGCCTCGTTGTAACAAGAAGGAACCAAGCAGAAGCGCAGCACAGCGCAAAGCAGGCAAGCAAACCAGCAGCAAGCAGCACCAAGCGAGCAAAGCGGGCAAGCGTGCAGAAGCAAAACAAAGGGCGACCTCCCAACTCAACACCCGACCCACCTCCACGAAGACCCGGACCACGGCCTGTCGGCCCCGCGCACCTTTTGCACGAAGACGATGGCCAGTGACGCCGCGAGCACGTGACGAGATGGCAGGTGAGAACTGCCGGAGATTAAACTTGAGCCAAATACCGCGTTGGGTAATGGCATACTACAAACTGCTATGATAAACGTACATGCCCCCAAAAACAGATTTAATTCGTCCACCCAGCCCGATCCTCCAAACGGGCAATAACATTGAATTTGGGGGCCGAGGGGGAGGGGCGTTACAACTGCAAGAATCGTCCACCTACAATAGTACTCGTCTCGCATTCGTCTCGCACTCGTCCCAAAAGAGGAAAAATCGCTGGCCTGCCTGTGCTTTTTGTTTGGTTCGTCAGTGCCTTCTGCGCCTTTTTGCGCCTCGTTTTCCTTTGCCTCGTTCGTCCAGGTCCTTCAGGAAGAGATCCACCAAGAAGTCCACGCTGAGAAGCTTTTGCCATATTCCGGGAAGCTCCACACCTAGCAAATTCCACTGGTCAGGGAACTCAATTGCATCACTTTGTGAGGCAAGCAACTTTCCTCTCCGATCTGCGGATACATCCAGTCTGCCACAAAGGCCCCAATACATCCTCAGTTGGAAAAGGAATAATGTACAACTGTCTGAATGTTCCACAAACTCATGTTGCCAAGCATCCATACACAGCTGCACGGACTTGCGGCTCATCATGCTCAAGGAGGCGAGTCAACAGATCCATTTCCTTCTTGCCCGACCTCAAACCATCAAATGCCAAGGTTTCGAGGGCAAGTGCAAGTGGGGTGCACATTCACAACTGAGCATTGACATTTTGAAGGACTGGCCAATCGAATCTGTGCAGCCAATGCTCAAAGCTTGCTTTGGAAACTTCCACGCATCCGATCCTCGAATGTATTCCAGGAGCAACTCCAAGGCTGCACACAGGACCCGCGGGTCTTCCTGGCCAAAAGGGCACAGGCACCAAAGAGCTTGAGACTGTGAATACTCTTTCTGGACTTAGTGAATTGCATGACTCACACTTGAGCGCCCGCGCCTGAACGCGGCCAGCAAGCAATCCGGCCTCAGCCACAAGTGGCAATTTGTGCAAGGTGAGCGTCAAGATTGGCGTACCAAAGGTGGCTTCTTGCGCAGGATGTCGAAGGCCCTGCACTGGGCCCAACACACAACTGATATCAACGTGATATCAACTGACATCAAGTGATATCAATTGATATCAAACTGATCCTTGATCATATTTGATCATGCAAAATCGTGCAAAATGCTCTGTGAGATTTTGCATGCCTAGAGAAGTCCATAGCTCCGGCAAGTTTTGGCAGCACCTGCGCACTGTGAAGGTGAGGCGTAGCTCGGTTCTGTCAGACCACCTCTAAAGCTAAGGCCACGATGCCAGGGCTCTGATCTTGTAGCGCCGCCTTGGAGCCATGGGCCATATACTGACATGCAAGGCCTATATCGAGACTATACCTGCAATATGAATCTGCCAAGTTGCTTGAATGCGCTTGAAGCCTTTGGAACTTACGAATTCTACCCTAAACAATCCATCTTTGTCCCAAAAAGGAGCCACCAGAAAGGATCCCAAAGCCCTGGCGCGCCTTCTCTTGGATTGCGGGTAGTGGAAGCAACCGCCAAACTGTTGGGAGACCAATGTCGTCGGTCCAGCGTAAGCAGGGGCTCTTAAACAAGCAGACATTGAATTGCCAAGCTTTCGCCCGCCTATCAGTGTCCGTTAAACCACACGTCCCGTGTTTTCCTGACAGAGTAAGAACCCTTACAGCTGAACCCGCTTGGGGAATAACATTGCGTTGCATGTGTATCAAAGAAATTGTCCTTGTCGAACATGGTCTATTGGCCTCCGGAACATAACCTCTTCTCACCAAGGTCCGCTAAGGTACCGCTGCAACACGCAATGGTACTTGGTCGTTCACTGCGATGACGCAAGCACGGAATACACTAGCAGGTTGTTGAAGGAAACAAATCATGGCCAGGCCTGGATCGGAGTAGTAAGTTCCGCTGCATCATCCGGGCCTCCATCACTGTCAAAACCAATGCCAAAGCGCGTTTTAGACACACCGAGCTGCGGAGCTTCGCGAGGTCTGCAATGGCCCTTAAGCGGGCAGCACGTACCTGTGGGCTGGAGGCTGCCTAAACACCAATGGAGAGAGCTTGCAGCAAAGAGTGACTGATTCCAAGTCTTTGTTTTATTTGTGTGCTGTGCAAGTCGCCTCCTCGCAGTCTTGGGCCTGATATTCGACGCACTCGCCGAAGGCGGCCAGCGCTGCAGCATCTCCTAGCGAGCACCCGTCACAGCCGTCACAGCCGTCACAGCCGTGCAATGGGTGCAAGGCTGAGGGCTCCTTGAGAGCACAAGGCGGCCATCGCAGGAAGGGCTTCCGGGTCCTGAGGCAAGCGCTTGCTTCCAAACGCGGCACGAGGGAGTTGTGTTGGTGATTTACACCCCATAGCGGTGTTTCTATCCACGAAGCAATGAAACACATGCGTCCTATGCGGGTTGATTTGGCCTTGAGTTCCGTGCTTGGACGGGCTTCCCTAGGGCCAACAAACGCTTGCCACACCGGGAGCACCCTTTTGGGGGCTGTACTTGTTGTAAAACTCGCACCAGCAATGAATGAATTGATGTGTTGCGTTTTGCAATCCAGCACGATATAGAACAAAGCAACCGGATTGCAGCAACGTCGCAAAATGTCTCAAACGCTCAAGACCAAATGTTCTCATGGCGTATCGCATATCCTCAAACCCATGACTCAAGGAAACACAGCATGTGTAGAAAAGCGTGGGAGAAACTGCAACAATGCGGAGGTGCAATCAGGCCGTTTTGCCGGGGATCGCACCGCACCTCCAAGCCCTTCAGAGCCCTCGCAGCCAGCTTACTGGCTTCTGCAGACGCCCCATAGCCAGCCATGGCGTGCCTTGGACAAAGGGTTCTCATGATGACCATGCTCGTCTCTTTCTTGCTCTTTCTCTTGCTTTCAGCCTTGGTACAAACACAGTCCAGGTAGATTGGGAATTGGACCTCCGCTCGCTGGGCTGCTCAAAGCGCTTGCGATCAGCCCGAGGCCCACGCTTTCGCGGCGCGGCTCCAACGCCGCCGCGTGCAAGAGACTGTCACAGGGCCAAATCGAGTCAGTCAGTGGGATACAGTGGGCAATTGGGAGTAGGGAATTAGAGCAATCAGTGCACAACCACAACATCATGCAAACATCAACCAGCCTCGGCAGTAGGCAAAGTGATCCCAAAGGCTTGCGGTCGATGAGCCAGGCTGCTTGGCATGCTGCACCTTGGACAACACGCCCGCTCGCTCTGGAGCTTGCAAAGGGAGTGGAATCAGATGGATCACCCGCTCGCCCCAAGTTCACAGCAAGCCACGCAAACGTGCCGCTGCATGAGGACTGTCAAGGCATCGGGCCTGGACCGACAGAGATTGGCAGAACCCCTGGGCACAACACCCAAATTTCTGAGAGGTAGCACCACGTGCAGCTGTGTGTACGTGTCAAAGCTGGCTGGAAGCCAGATTCCTGCCACTTTCTCAATCCGTTTGCCCTGAGCAAGCCGGAAACGCAGGACGTCAATTCGCCCGTCCTTGTTGGCTATCGTCGCGTTCTGCCCGAGCTGCCCACAATGCTGGCAGCACAAGATGCCTGCGTCGGCACGGGCGAGGATTGGACAGTGCTTGGTTCAGATACTCGTTGCATGGCATGGGACCTGGCAAACTAAACCTGTCAAATCCTATCATCCAAGCCTGGGATGCTTTCTGGAAACACTTGTGCTTGCACTGCAAGACCTGTTGGAGCTGGGGCACTCGAGGCGAAAGCTCCGCAGTCCAATGCAACATGATTCGAAGTGTTGTGCGCGATTTCATTTAACGGCACTTTTCTGGATTGGCATCTCAAATGGCATCTATGGCATCTAAAGCTTGGATGGGATAGACCAGAAGCTGCTCGCGGCCTTGCTCACGCCAAGCTTCCAAAGGCTCCGGCAGGCTGAAAGGCGGCTTCCGCAAGTCGTAGCCTGGGAAAACTTCCCCTGGCGCCACGGAGTCGAAGGCCGAGGAGCCGCTGAGGTCGCGGTTGGGGGCGCCCGGCCACGAGGAGATCACCAGCAGCTTGGGCTGCGAGGCCCGGACGTTGCGCAGCAGGCTCAAAGCATCTGCTAGGGTCAGGTGCTGAAATACGTGCCGCACCAGGGCTGCATCGAATCCTCTGGGCAACGGATCCTTTACAGCATCTTTAGCGGCAAATTCAAAAAGACCTTCTCTGTTGTTCTGCTCTGCAAATCGCTTCTGCAATGCTTTGATCGGCTGGTCAGCAATGTCGATGCCCAAGTACCGCAAGCGAAGCCCAGCTCTCAGCAGCAAGGATGGGATCCACTCTCCCCAGCCGCAGCCAATGTCAAGAAGACTGCCCGGGGTGTGTTCATCACCCAGCCGCCGCAGAAAGCTCGACAAATTGCCGGAGACTGCTGCAGTGGCTCGAGTTGATGAGCCCCCACCTGCGGACGCCACGGCAATCCGTTGCGAAATTATGGCAAATATGACTAATGGGGGGGAGAGTAGCGCTCAAACAGGGCAAGAAACACCCAAAACCAAGAACACGGGACCAAAGAGGTATTAGACCCCCTGCCCAACCCCGGCTGCGGCATTCACTACCTGCAAGATACGCTCGCGACAATCTTCTTAACTAGCCGCAGCCCCATGGCGCGGCAAAGTGCAGCCCGCAGTCCGCTCGAAAAGGGGGGAGTCATGAAGATACGAGGTATCTCAGGTCCAAAGGGTCTGTGTTACTTCTTAGCGTCCAACGTGTTGCATGTATAGTTGAGAAGTTGCCCGCAGTAGTGTTTGACCATCTGTGATGGACTGTTTTGGCTCAAGTAAAAAGGAGTTTACCAGGCCATGAGCTTGCAAATGCTTGACACTTCACTTTTCATGCAAAATGTGTGATGAACTCACTTCTTGCCTCTGCGGACATCTACAAGCACCTCCGGCAAATCTGTTCTGATGCCAAGCAGCTTCAGTGCGTGATCCCGCTTTTGTGGGGCGAGTGCTTTGGTAAAAATGTCTGCGGCCAGCGATTCGGTCTTCACACACACAAGCCGTTCCCTGGCGCTAGCTGCTCAGCGAGACATGCTAGGTTTACCTTGTCCAAGTAATTCCCCTCAATTTTGGCAACCTTTTCGTGCGACCAAGATTGTGGCCTGATTGTCTTCATACAGGGCGAGGCTCATTTTGCGGCCTAAGAGCTTTGCACACAAGCCTACGGGAAGCCCTTCCTGGTACAAGAAATGGGCAAGGGAAATCACTTCAGCTTTGGTGGTGGATCGCGAAACCGAAGTTTGTTTCTTACTTAGCCACGCAATGGGAAAGTGAGTCCGAGGGCCCTGGAGAACTAGGAATCCCCCTGATGTGGACTTTGCATCTGACTCCGCTGCGAAATCAGCATCGGCATACAGCGCAAGTTGCAGCTGTTCTGGTTCGTCAAGCACTGCGCCAACTAATCGGTAATTACAAGCTTATACAAGAAATCAACCGTAGTAATTGACGAAGTATTCTTAGACCACTTGGCGCGCTTTGTTGATGGGCTGCCGCTTCGCTTTCACGAGCCTGGGACACTGCCTGTTGCGCTTGTGCTGCAATCTGTAGCCCTCCTGCCTAAATGCGCTGACCTCTTGAGTTGCCATTTCCACGACATGACCGGCGTCCGCCCTAGCCCGCCGTGCTTCCTGCTGTTGTTGCAGTTGGCTGCGACCTCGGATGCTCTGCGTGCTTGTTGCACCGCCGCGCTTTCAATGAACGCGGCAGCAGGCATATTTTTTGTCATGTGGGATCTGGGTATGACGGTTGTGCGCCAGTATCCATTTGCAACTCAATGGATGTGTCCGAAGAGGGTTCAGACACAATTGACAAAAATATCTCGTGCGCGGGTATGGATTACCGACAAGGCAGGGACTAGATCCAAACCAGCTAGGTCAGGTAGACCAACCTTCGGAATGTGGAGTTATCCCAGAAGCCATGATTGCCCGTGGTTACACTAATTATTTACCCTCCTATTGAAGTTGGGGATAACCACGAAAACCAGCGCCCGGATTAAACTAGCTGCGGTCAGGCTTCTCCCGCGCAGGATTAAGGCCTCGACTGGGCATTGTTGGTGACCCAGGAAGCCTACTCCCTACTGTACTTGAACTTGAAGGCTACTCTAAAGTCGCGCCTTGGCGCTGCGACTCAAATCAACCCGCGCTTTGGCGCTACGGGACCAGGCTGGCCGCGGGCTGCGGCCCTGCTACTGCCTTGTATTCCAGCGATGCTGGCTCAAGACGATGACGATGGGCGATGATCAAACTGTTCAACCAAATCCAATGCGTCGGCCAAACCACGATTTGTCCTTGCACAGAAATAGAAGCGGACGCCTGCTCGCCTGCGCTCTGTAAGGATATTCTGGCTGTCGTTGATGATGATGTGACACCTAGTGCTGCGAGTGCGAGGGCTTTGCCACCCTCACCCGTCCGGCTTCGCGTGATAGTAACACTCGGAATGTTGGTTTGTCCTGCGCTGATTGTACCTTGTGCGAAAAAACATCCGACTCCCTGTGAATTTCATCGATCATTGACCTTGTTGATGCAAGTGACACAATGTGGAAAACCAAAGGGCGGCAATGGGTCTGGATGTCCAGCAACCTGTGCGCAAGCCAATCCTGCGGGTTTCCTGTCATATCGCAATAGCGTCGTGCCAATCAAGGGCGACGGAAACCAACTTCCCACCCCAATTGAGAGGTGGCACCTTGTGTTGCAACTGCTGCGACGCAGGGCCCGGATTCGGTGCGGATATCATCCCCAGCGGCTTTGTTGCTGGGGGGTTTGGTGCGGGGATCGCACCACGCCACACCGCACCAGGGGCTGCGACTGGGTAGCTTGATGACGCCGGGGGAAGGATCAATGGCCTCTCGCTAACCCCCCGCCTGTAGGCTGCGGGCTGCGACGATGACCTGGATCTTGAGGAGGCTCTCGCCACGCTTGGAGCTACGGCACGTGCAGATCGGCTTGAGGGCCTCCTACGCCAGAAGCTCCTCAATAGACTAGACTTGACGTAGAGTTGCCTGTGCTGCAGCCCGGTGCACAAAAGACCTTGACTTTTGGGTACTGCAGCTTGTTGACGCTCGCCGTGCAAAACGGGTCCAGTTGGTACGCCCGTCCGGCTTTGGCCGCGCGCCTTGGTGCGCGGGCTGCGTGGAACTGCTTTGTGAATCCTCAGACGATTGCTCGTCTACTGTTGAAGTCGTACAGGGGCGCTTTCTGACGGGGTCGACTTGTGACTCTGAATCAGACGCCGCGCCTTGGGCTGGGAAGGGCAGGGAGGTCCTATTAAACCCCAAAAAAGAAGAGCTACGGCTGATAACCACTCAAACAAGCAAGAAACACCCAAAACCAAGAACACGGGACCAAAGACCCCCTGCCCGACCCCGGCTGCGGCATTCACTACCTGCAAGATACGCTCGCTCGTTTTTACTTGAGCCAAAACAGTCCATCACAGATGGTCAAACACTAATGCAAACAACTTCTCAACTATACATGCAACACGTTGGACACTAAGAAGTAACACAGACCGTTTGGACCTGAGATACCTCGTATCTTCATGACTGGTCGTCACCGTAGAAAATACACAAGATATAGTTGGAATGGGGTGCGTCCATCTTCTTCTCCTCGAGAACGGGCACCTTGATTTGCAACTTAGAATCAGGACACAAAAGCAAAATGCGTTCTGACATATCGTTTCGGAGAACCAAACCACCTATGTACTGTAATGTTCCAAGCTCGCTCACTCACTCACTCACTCACTCACTCACTCACTCCCTCCCTCACTCCCTCACTTCCCTCACCGCCTCACTCCCTCACTGTCCCTCCCTCCCTCCGCCCTCCCTCCGCCCTCCCTCCATAAAGTAGAAAGGAAAAAGAAGGACATGGAAGGAAGCAAAAGGGAAAGGTCGTGGAAAGGAAAGGAATGGCAAGGAAATGGACACGAAACAGAAAGGAAAAGGACAGGAAACTGAAGAAATGGAAAGAACACTGGAAGGTAATGGAAAGGAAATGGAAAGGACAAGGAAACGGGAAGGACATGCCAAGACACGGAGACGACAGGCTTGGTTTTTCTTTGCTTTATGTTTGTTATGCGTTACTTTACCAAGTCCGTTGAAAACATAAACAATGATTTAAAACGAACATGAAAAACAAAGACTACGGGCAGATTTGTTCATTTTTCAATTATTTTCCCCTAGTCTTTCTGTAGTCTTCCTGGAGTATTCCTGCAATCTTCTGGCAGTCTTTCCGTAATATTCCCGTAGTATGCTGGTAGTCTTCTGGCAGTCTTTGTGCTTCCCGTAGTCTTCCTGTAGTCTTCCCACAGTCTTCCGGTACTCTTCGGTGTCTCCCCAAAGTCTTCTGTCTTCCCGTAGTCTTCCGGGAATCTTCTGGTAACCTTCGTTGTCTTACCGTAGTCCAGTCTTCCCACAGTCTTCGTCTTCGTTGTCTTCCGGTAGCAACATGTAGGGGTTGTGCACGTGTTCGAGGCCAAAAATGATGGGCACACGGTTTCTAACTGATGCACTGACATGAAAGGCGGTTAAGTCACGCAGAAAGCCGTCAACAGGAATCAGCAGTGACGGGTGAGCCATTGAGACTGAATGTTTGGCCTTTTGAAGTTGTTAACCCGTTAAAGACTCGCGAACTCCCAGATTACGACGTGAGTGAAGACGGTGAAGCTTGCAGATGGGCAAAGAGCTTCGCATCCAGCAGGCT